AATAAATTAAATATAAATAATAATAAAGAAAGAACAAATAAAATTATAAAGAAAATAATTAATTAAAAACATTAATAATCTAAATTAATAATTGTGATACACATGATGATTATCTGAGTAACAATGTACTAAATCTAGATGTATTAAATACATAATGATTATCTGTGTATTCAGAGTGAAAATGATCTTCTTAAAAATGTAATATAAAGCTAATTTGTTATACAGATAGCACAAAATAAAGATCTAAACTAAAAGAAATCTAAAGGAAGATAATTCAATTAAATTATTACAAAAAGATAATAAAGAATAATAAAGAAAAGAGATTATCAAAAGATAAGATAAAGAAGAAAATTGTAATAATATAATTAAAATTATAAGATTAGAAATAAAGAATAGACTGAGAATAATATTAAAACATTTTTAAAATAACTTTAATATTACTTAATATTATAAATAATTTAATATATATTTTAATTCATTATTATAAGCTATATCTTAAATAAAATCTATCTTTATAAATATAATCTGTAATATTAATATTAGATTTAATATCAAAAATATTATATTTTTATTATAAAATAATATATTAAAAATATTTAAGAAATTAAATAGCAAGAATAAAATAATATACTATTAATTATAAAATAGATAAAATATACAAATTTATCTGTTATCACTTTATTATATCTATTAGAAAACTAGATAAACAAAATAAAATTCATTTTTATAATTAATTTTTATCTAAATATAACTATTCCTGAACAAGTAGAAAAAGTAAATCAAGTTTTACAATCTAATCAAGATAATATTATTACTGAAAAGAGTAAAGTGCTAAATTATATAATAATACTATATAGTTATTGATATCAAGAAATATATCTTCTCTAATATTTTATTATTCTTTGATTTCAAAATCTAATCTCAAATGGAAGAAGTTTTACAAGAGATTATAAAAAGATTGAAGAAGAATTAAATTATCATGACTTTATTATCTCTATACAATTAGGAAAAGAAAATAAATTAATAAACAAAGCAGAAAAAAGAGCAAATAATAATAAAGATATTGATGATGAATTGGAAAAAGATATCAAAGAAAACAGATTAACATGATTTTATTCTCTAAATAAAAAAAGAAGGATGAAGATTACAAGCAGAAAGAATGATTAAAAGGAATGGTCAAATACTAGGAACTATGGATAATGAAAGAATTGCTGAAAAATAAGAGATTCGGAAGCTTACTATCAAAAATGAAATAGAAAATCACGTGCCAAGTTGGAAAAAGAATTAACAGAAATTAAGCAAATATTTATTTGATGACGACGTGAGTTTTTATACATGTACTTTCTGATAAAACACATCTCTCACGTGAGAAATAATATTAACTAAACACAATATTAAGCAGCCATTCGATTTTATAAAAAGAATAATTAGGTATATGTTATTTATTTTATCAGCATTTTCGATAGAAAATTGACACCTAGCATCATTTGTTTAAACACTAATGCAACTATTACATGTATTGTACATTATATGAAACATAAGACAAGCCAAATGAACAATAGATGAAAATAAAGAAATTGAAAATACCTTCATTATTAAATTATTCTATTATTCTATTATTAAACTCTCTATTATTAGATTTTCTATTATTAAATGCTTAATTGTTTGCAAATAAACCCACTTAATTGTAGATCTTTTAATACAGTTCATTTTCAATTGAATTTGATATTTAGATGCATACGTACATCGAACCTCTGAAATTTTTAAGTCATCGTCACCATTTTCGATGAAATTCCAGTCGTTAAAAAAGAAAACAAAGAAAATAAGATTTTAATAAATTTGGCCATAGGAAGGGTAGAATAGCATGCAAAATATTCTCGAGTTCATTATCGTTGTATTAAAAAAATTCAATGCATTATATTTGACATCAATAGCCAAAGTGTTTCACTTATCGTTTTTATAGTAATGAATAACTAGAGATACGTTTAAATAAGCGAAGAACTTTGCCAAATGGAAGAAAACTGGATGCAAATGCACATTTTTTGATGATTATATGATTCCCCTTATCCGTTGATTGTATTCCAGAAGAATTGGATTACAGTGTTTTATGAACAGTATCTCACAGAAAAAATGTAATATGAAAAGTTTTACGAAAAAACTCTAGCGCTTCTAATATCAATTAAATGTACGTGGTTCTTAAGCTAAAATGACTAAAGAATATATTAATGTTACCATTCTAAATAAATTAAGTGATCTACATGAATATTTTTAATTAGTGAAAGTTTAAAGTCAACTCCAAATACATGTGCTTTTTGATGAGAACTACATGTATTTAGAGTTAACGTTAAACTTTCGCTAATTAAAAAATACTCATGTAGATCACTCAATTCTTTAGTATGTCAACATTAATACATTCGTAAAACTTTTCGTATTACATTTCTTCTATATATGTAAAAACAAAAATTAAACCAAAATAGCATAGTTAGAAATTTGTTATAAGTTACCACATGCGTTAAAAATCTCACATTTTGTTAAAAGGATGCTAAAATTTTGATCTGCGTGTAGCAGAAAATAAGAACAGTCCAAATCCAACTTGGTCACTAATTGAAAATGACGCAAACTAGGAAACAGGAACTGTTGAAAGTTCAGAGCAAAATATGTAATATATAGGTGTGGTCACGTGGGTGGACAGTCGGATAAATTTCTGCTAAGATCTCTAATATGTTCGGTCACGTGCATGGACAGACGGATGCACAATTGAAATTCACACATATCACCATAAAAACGATCACCAACGTGAGTAAGGTTGAAAAACATTTAACAATAATTATTAATAAGCTCTTACAATCCTCCCAACACAAGCGGGTTAAAAGAATATTAGATAAAAGGTTTGCTGATGATATTGGATTCATTCAGGCTATGGTTGTTGTTGTAGTATATGTCAGGCAAAGTATTTGAATAAGTTTGATGAAATTGCGATAAAGGTAATATTATTATTTATTTAAAGAAGATACAACAATAGCGTGTGTGAAAATACAACGGATATCAGAAAGAGATGAGGAATTTAATAATAAATAACAATTTAAACAAGGGAAAATGCTCTTAAATTAGACACCCAATGCACACTTGTAAATTCTGGGCAGATTTAATTAAATAAATAATAGTACCATTGAATTAATGATAATTAATGATAATCATAATAATATAATAAACGAAAGTAAAGCATAACACCTAAAGCAAGAACAACTGATGATATAACAAGCAAAGAACTTTGATATAGATAGCGACGATAATAGTAATAGTAATGATGATTATATTTTAAAACTAACTAATAATCTATTAAATAATGTAGCGAACGCGTGAATTTAATCAAGAGAAGGGAGAGAAAATAAAAATATTAGAAAGAAAGTAAAATAAGAACAAGATTGATCACTAATTAATGATATAATTACTTGATTGATAATAGTTGTGAGAACTGCCGGGGGAGGATCATAAGAAGAATTGAATATATATTATGTCGACTTAATGAATATTAATCTTATATATTATATAGATATATAGATCAAAGGGAGATGGATGATGCGTAATAAAGTAAATGATTAGACGAAAATAAAGAAAATGAATCAAACAATTTATTGTTTTAAGATAGATATAATACAGTAAATAATTAAGGTACTAATTAACTATTAGTGGTGGATTATAGGCGACGATATGTATCCCAAATATGTATAACTTACGTGATAATTTTCTTCGCAGTAAATAAACCCCGTTGTTCCTCACTCACGTGATAAATATTTGTCGTTTATTTTGTTTGATGATGATGATGATGATGAAGATGATGATGATGGTGATGATTCTTATATCCACCCAGTCAAAGATCAATAGATGATGATAGACCGATAGATTGATAGAAGTTAAAGAGTGGGCGAAATTAACCCTTTTTTAGAATACCCTTCTTTGTTTAGCTTGTGCTTTTTTCTACAGTAAATAAGTTGGTGATCGATTGCTTGCTAGGGTTTTATTGCTTTGTGAATGTTTTGACTAGTGTTTGTTGTAATTATTTGTATTTGTATTTGCATTTGTATTATTATTATTCTTCTTCTTCTTCTTATTATTAATTATTATTATTAATTATTATTATTATTGTTATTATTATTATTATTATTATCATTATTATTTATTATCATTATTATTATCATTATTATTATCATTATTATTATCATTATTATTATTATTATTATTTTAATACTATGAATGCTAGAAAGAATCTAGAAGTAAATATTTGCTACATATTTACGTGTTTGAATAACTCGGATTTGTTGGTAACGTATTAAGATGAGAATGCGTGGTAAGAGAACTTGGTATACTCATCGAAATTCAAATGATGGGAAAGAATTTTCTGGTGTATGTTGTAATTTTAATTCTTGAAACCTAATCATTATCATTTAATTAAATAACGATGAGAAATGCAATTTTAACAACGTATATAAAGAAACTTTAAGTACAAAAATAAACTTACCATTCTGAGTTTTTATGAAAGTAAAAACCTGTAATAATGCCCGTGCTCAATTGATAACAGATATAATAGAATCCAGCAAAACTTGCACCACTAATCGTTTTCACACGATGGTCAGGCACCAAAAAATGTTCTTTCCATCGCATGAACATGAAATCTTTGTTGTGAAAGTCATAGGTGAAGTTATCTTTTTTCATATATTTCTGAATTGGTTTATATGCTGGAAATTTTGTCTATTTTATTGTGTATATATGGATTATATCAAATTAATCGCTATAAACAAAAGAAGAAAGAGATAATAAATAAAATTTACCCAATGCTGATTGTCTATCTTCTCATTCGCGTCCCATTTCTTCGTTAGAAAGGAATACTTTCTACCAATGATCTCGGCCTCAAAGAAAGTAGTGAGCTCCGGATAATCTTCTGTTAAGCCTTTTATGTGAAGATATCCGCAGAGAAAAGATTCAGCGAGATCAACATGCTGAAATATGACAAGTAAAATAAAATAATTATGAGATAATGAACGATTATTTTATTTTTTTCCTGCGGCATAATATTCTGCATTCTTTCTCTGATGATCCAATGTCCCAGAAAATGTAATCATTTTATCTATTCATTAGATTCCGTTCTCAACACTCATCACCATATCATTTCGTTGTCAATTCGATCTTTTAATATTATCCGTTAAAGAACTTCATCATCGTATCTTTGATCTAATATGTGATCGATCCTCAGTCACCATCATTCATTCAACTTTTGATTATAGGGCAAATAACCTCCCCGATTTCCCCTGACTTTCTGCACACTATAGTTATCATTAATTACCTGAATATGCACCGCGACCTCGTAACTGCTTTTTCCACTTCGCTGTTCACCACGAAACTTTGAACCGGAATAAAGGGAACAGGTAGCTGTAGGAAATAGTCTAACCGCCGATAATTCAGTAGCCAACGACAAACGTTGCCTTCTTTTTTTTATCAATTGTTCTTGCTTTAATGTCTCTTGAACCTTTTTTTGTTCGTCAAAGTGTTTGTGAGTTGGATCACGACAGACACCAGCACAACCAATACCGTTACCACTTCCACCACCCGTCACATTACCACTACCATCAATACAGAAACACTTATTTTCCTGATTGTTATTATTGACCAACGTGTTAGACGTCGTACTAAGAAGGGAGTTAGGATTGTTAATATTTGTTTCTGCTTCTGTCGCTGCTGATAAGGCAATGATATTATTATTTGAATTTGTTGAAGCGGTGATGGAGGCGGCGGTGGTGTTGAGGTCACTACTGTCAGTGAATACCATTGGAATGGAGAACACAGGCATGTTACGAG